ATTGCATGATTTTTACCTTAATATGATGATGTGTTCCATATTGAGCATGCTAGATGATGATGAGTGCCATATTGCATCATGTCGTTAGATCGACGTAGGACACAACCTTAAGAGCATGAAAATGATATTAATATAAATATCCACGAGTATGCGTTATCTAGAGTAACAAAGAGATGAGACTAGAGGGTTGTGTCAGAAGAGACATTACGATGGATTTAGAGGGACCTCATTTCCGTTTCCGTTCTGGGTTCGGCAACGGAAACGCTGCGGGAAGGAGAGAGAAAGCTCGCCGGAAAATCGGCCAAAATCAGTTAAGGAAGACGAGATCCACGAATCCAGGTCAACCCGAACCCAGAACCCGGGAGAGCCAGCCCGTTCCTCCCTTGGCCTCTGCCTTCGGCCCAGCCCAACTACAGCGGCCCAAACCTCAAATCGGCCCAGAAGCTACGGTTCAGTTGAACCAACCCAGACTAGACCCACGGTCCAATTGAGCCGGCCTACAAACCAAACACTTGCGGCCCAGCCAAGTAAGCTGAGGCCCAACGTTTAGCCTTGGTCCAGTAGCCTTCCACAGCCCGCGACCCGAACCATAACCCGAACCGGACTGCGACCCGCACTTCGACCCGACACTACCGCCCGACGTGGCTTTCTCTGCTGCTGCCACGTGTCACACAGCGGCGCGGCAGTCCCTCGACTCGGCTCGGCGCAAATGGCTCGGGCTCCCTCCGGTGACGCTCCGGCGGCTCCTCCAGCGGCTCCAGCGGCTGTTCGGCTCGGCTCACCTATTTTTAGCCCGGTTTCCACTGTTTCGACCCTCCCGGATCTGTTTTCGGCCTCGATTAAGGTATCCGAGGCCGTTTTAGAGCTGTATTTCACATTTATTAAATTATAGGTAAATTAATTGTGAAATACTAACGGAAAGTGGTGAACGGTGTGGTAGGAAACAAACCCCGGCGACGTAGGAAGCAGCTCTCACGGAATGGGAGCTTACGTTTAGCTATTTAGGGAGTACTTCGGCCAAGGCCAACCAAGTAAGTGGCCTTACTATAGGATAGGCTAAATAAATTATATGATGCTTGATGATATGTGCTAGTATATACATATTTTGTTAAGTGACGCTTGATATGTTTGACGCACATTGTGGCATTATGATGAGCATGATGATTGCATGATTTTTACCTTAATATGATGATGTGTTCCATATTGAGCATGCTAGATGATGATGAGTGCCATATTGCATCATGTCGTTAGATCGACGTAGGACACAACCTTAAGAGCATGAAAATGATATTAATATAAATATCCACGAGTATGCGTTACCTAGAGTAACAAAGAGATGAGACTAGAGGGTTGTGTCAGAAGAGACATTACGATGGATTTAGAGGGACCTCATGCATTTTGTATGTTCATAAGCATACGGCTACTTCCCCTAGAGATGATGAGTGCGGACGCGCACCTTATGATGAGCGCGAATGCGCACAGGTGCGAAAGCACACAGATGAGGGTGTTCATGAGGCGCATGACACTATGGGGTTCCGCTGACCTCCGGACGTCGCTACAGATTAGCTTGACCAGAGGGTCGAGGGGGTGTGCGAGCGCCCTGGGGACTCACACTCGCACGTGTGAGTCGTGTGTAGGGAAGTACTACACATCCAATTTGTCCGAGACTGGATGCCACCCCTAAGATGATTAGAGATAGGTCCCTATTCATGATTGCATGTGTTTGCATTAGCATGGCCCCTATAGTGGGGTCACTTACTGAGTATTTCAGGCCGTGTGCCATATTGTTTTTCAGGTAAAGGCAAGGCTCCCATGTACGGTTGACGGTGGCATCGTGATCAGAGACTGTGGTGCGTGTATAGGATAGTTGCATATTTAATTCCTAGTCTTGGTTAGGATAGGGCGTTTGCATTTCATTCATTTATATTAATTAATTTGTAATCGTTTTATTTTATCTTTTTGAACTCCAGCACGATGTTTGAAACACATAAGTCCGGCAGTGTTTTCCAATGTTTTAATGTATTCTGAAGTTTTAAATTTTTTTCGCTAATAAAGATGAGCATGCTTAGGTTTTTTGTAACGACCCTAAATTTCCACATATCCAGAGTCGCCACTAACATCTCATGCTCATCTCTAATGCAGAATAAAAATCTAAGCATGCTCATCTTTAATAGCGGAAAAATTTAAAACTTCAGAATACATTAAAACTTTGGAAAACACTGCCGGACTTACGTGTTTCAAACATTGTGCTAGAGTTCCAAAAAGAAAAAAAAAAAAACGACTACAAATTAATTAATATAAATGAATGAATTACAAACGCCCTATTCTAACTAAGACTAGGAATTAAATATGCATCTATCCTATGCACGCGCCACAGTCTCTGATCACGATGCCACCGTCAACCGTACATGGGCGCCTTGCCTTTACCTGAAAAAAAACAATATGGCACACGGCCTGAGTATTTCAAGAAATACTCAGTAATGACCCCACTATAGGGGCCATGCTAATGCAAACACATGCAATCATGAATAGGGACCTATCTCTAATCATCTTAGGGGTGGCCTCCAGTCTCGGAAAAATTGGATGTGTAGTACTTCCCTACACACGACTCACACGTGCGAGTGTGAGTCCCCAGGGCGCTCGCACACCCCCTCGACCCTCTGGTCAAGCTAATCTGTAGCGACGTCCGGAGGTCAGCGGAACCCCATAGTGTCATGCGCCTCATGAACACCCTCATCTGTGTGCTTTCGCACCTGTGCGCTTTCGCGCTCATCATAAGGTGCGCGTCCGCACTCATCATCTCTAGGGGAAGTAGCCCTATGCTTATGAACATACAAAATGCATGAGGTCCCTCTAAATCCATCGTAATGTCTCTTCTGACACAACCCTCTAGTCTCATCTCTTTGTTACTCTAGGTAACGCATACTCGTGGATATTTATATTAATATCATTTTCATGCTCTTAGGGTTGTGTCCTACGTCGATCTAACGACATGATGCAATATGGCACTCATCATCATCTAGCATGCTCAATATGGAAAACATCATCATATTAAGGTAAAAATCATGCAATCATCATGCTCATCATAATGCCACAACGTGCGTCAAACATATCAAGCGTCACTCAACAAAATATGTATATACCGCGCATATCATCAAGCATCATAATCCACACATCATCATAACTCATAGAATTATTTAGCCTATTCTATAGTAAGGCCACTTACTTGGTTGGCCTTGGCCGAAGTACTCCCTAAATCGCTAAACGTAAGCTCCCGTTCCGTGAGAGCCGCTCCCTACGTCCCCGGGGTTTGTTTCCTATCACACCGTCCACCACTTTCCGTTAGTATTTCACAATTAATTTACCTATAATTTAATAAATGTGAAACACGACTCTGAAACGGCCTCGGATACCTTAATCGGGGCCGAAAACAGATTCGGGAGGGTCGGAACAGTGGAAACCGGGCTGAAAACAGGTGAGCCGAGCCGAACAGCCGCTGGAGCCGCCGGAGCATCGCCGGAGGGAGCCCGAGCCGTTTGCACCGAGCCGAGCCGAGGGACTGCCTGCGCCGTTGAGTGACACGTGGCAGTAGCAGAGAAAGCCACGTCGGGCGGCAGTGTCGAGTCGAAACGCGGGTCGCAGCCCGGTTCGGGTCGTGGGCTGTGGAGGGCTACTGGGCCAAGACTAATCGTTGGGCCTCGGCTTACTGGGCTGGGCCGCAGGAATTTGGTTTGCAGGCCGGCTCAATTGGACCGTGGGTCTGGTCTAGGTTGATTCAACTGAACCGTAGCTTCTGGGCCGGTTTGAGGTTTGGGCCGCTGAAGTTGGGCTGGGCCGAAGGTAGAGGCCAAGGGAGGAACGGGCTGGCTCTCCCGGGTTCTGGGTTCGGGTTGACTCGGATCCGTGGATCTCGTCTTCCTTACCCGACTTCGGCCGATTTTTCGGCGAGCTTTCTCTCTCTTTCCCGCGGCGTTTCCGTTGCCGATTTTGGTCCTCTTCCTTCCCTTTTCCTCTTTGTTTGTCGTCCTTCTTTCTTTTCTGGGAGTTTTGCGGCCTAAAAGCTCCTAAAAGCCATAGATCTAAGAATCGATTAAGAAACCTAATCTTTCCGACCTCGGTTACCGACGACGACGCTTAGGAAATAACACAAAACGTACTCTGAGTTATTGTGCTTTCGTTAGGGATCCCTCTTATGGTGGTAACAGGTCGTTTGGTGTTAGTTTGAGGGTGGTTTGAGGGCTCGTCGGAGAAACTGGACACTCGCCGACGTTCGTCCGAAATCTCTCTCTCTCTCTCCAAATTTTCTCTCTTTTCTCCCTTTGCAGGTGTTTTGAAACTTTGCAGAGTGTCGTGGGTTGAGGGTGGGCGTGCTGTGGCCGTGGTTTCGCGTGGGTTCCGCGAAACTCGGCGGTCGCCGGAAAACTCGCGGGTTTTCCGGCGACTGAGTTTTTTTTTTTTTACTTTATTTGATTTATTTATTTATTTATTTTTATTATATGTATATATATTTTTTTCTTTCTTTCCCGGGTCGTTACATTTTTATTCTGCATTAGAGATGAGCATGAGACGTTAGTGGCGACTCTAGATATGTGGAAATTTAGGGTCGTTACAGTTGGTATCAGAGCTCTAGTTATAGATTCTGTAGACTAGCCTACGATGTAGACTTGGCACGCTCCACGGTTCCAACGTCGATGCCCCGTCACCGTCAGGTACGCCTTGCATGAGATAAGAAAAGAGAAACGTTTTAAAACTCGCATGCATTTTTTTTTATGTTGACATTACTGAAATGGTTGTGATATTTCACGTATTTATTTAAGAGTATGACGTCATGTGTTGCATGCTGAGTAATTTTGTTAATAGCATGATATGATGCTTAGCATGATGAATGTTTACTTCTTTGGCGTTACGATGTATTGTATAGTGTGCGTATTGTTATATATATATATATGCATAGTATTAAGGCCTTAGACTTAAGCAACCTTATATTGGTTTATAGAACCATGCCCGGAGGACGAGGAAGAGGAAGAGGAAGACGAGGAAGGGGGCGACCCCGTCGTAGAGAAGTAGGACGAGGTGTGGCAGTAGAGGGCCCATCTCAAGAAAGATTAGAGACTGGGCCGGTAACAGTTACGCCGCCCCCAGTCTTACCACCAGTTGAGCTACCTCCTCTAGCTCCACTACAAGCTGAGCCTCCACCACCAGTACAGCCTCCACCACAAGTAGAACCTCCACCCCAGCCTACCCTACCACTCCAAGTCACACCTGAAGCTGCACCCCCAGTGGGTGGAGTAGATGCTAATACTAGGTTAATGTGTGACTCCATCCAAGCCCTAATTCAAACCTTGGTAACCAATCAGCAAGCCAGTCTACAACAGGCCCAGGAACAAGCCCAAGCACAGGCCCAGGCACAGGCGTTGGCACTGGCACAGGTACAGGTACAGGCACAGGCACAGGCACAGGCACAGGCCACTACTCAGGCCAATGCCCCAGTAAACCCTCCACAACTTGTTAGATGTTCAAACTGGATAAGGGATTTCAAGAGATACGACCCTTGACCATTCACTGGTTCCTTGGTAGACCCCATAGAAGCCCAAATGTGGATTGCAGCCGTGGAAACCACCTTTGAGACTATGGAGTGCCCAGAGAACCAAAAGATCGCCTGTGCAACCTTTGTCCTACAAAAGGACGCAGAGATATGGTGGAGAGATAACAAAACCCTCCTTAACCCAAAAGGGAGACCAATGAACTGGGAACGATTTAAGGAGGCCTTCCTTAAAGAATATTATCTTAAGTCAGAGCGACTTAAAAGGCAGCAGGAGTTCGCCCACCTAGTACAGGGAGGACTCACAGTGGAGAAGTACAACAGAGAGTTTAATAAACTCAAGAGATTTGCACCGTCCATGGTGTACACTGAGGAAAAGATGACAGAGAAATTTGTATTGGATTTGGAACCAAGAATCCGCCGCATGTTGGAGGCATTCAACCCAAAGACATATGAGGAAGCCTTGAGAACTGCCAAGGCTTTAGAGAAACCAAAGGATGAGAAACGACGTGAAGAGCCAGTTGTAATTGGGCAGAAGCGTCCTCATGAATCAGGAGGCTCTGACCGTCCACCACCAGCACATAGGCACCGTTCCAATAACAGACCCGCTCCTAGATGGGATGAGCGACACCCTCCCCGACATACTAACAGGAACCCAAGGAATCAAGATGGGGCCAGAGGGAGGAGAGAGGAAGGGTGCACTATCTGTTGAAGACTACACGGTGGGAGGTGCATGGCTGGCAGCCGAGCGTGTTATAGATGTGGTCAAAAGGGGCACATCGCCGTGAACTGCACGGCCGAAAATGCTGCAGCACAAGCAAACCCGCCCAGAGTAGTAGAGCAAACGGATCAACCAGCACCACCGCGAGCTCAAGCTAGGGCATACACGTCAACCAGCAAGGACACTGGGAGGTTCGACGCCGTGGTGACAGGTACACTATCCATCTTAGGTCATTTCGCTTTTACCTTATTTGATTCTGATTCCACGCATTCCTTTATTTCCATGCCTTTTGTTGTACAAGCAGGGTTCGAATTAGAACCCTTATTGCATGAAATGTCTGTAAGCACCCCTGCGGGGGTACACTTAGTATTCTAGGGATAGAGTAAAAGATGGCCAAGTGAATCATAGGGAACCAAACTTTAAGCGTTGACCTGATGGTGGTAAACATGACAGATTTCGACGTCATACTAGGCATGGATTGGTTAGCTAAAAATCGAGCTAGTATAGACTGTCGCAAAAAGGAAGTAAAATTTTCACCACCGATAGGACCTACCTTTAAATTTAAAGGCACAAATACCGGGATTACCCCCAAGGTAGTCTCGATGATGAAAGCAAAGAGGTTAGTCCAACAAGGTGGATGGGCTATATTAGCATGTGCTGTAGACGTGAGAGGAAAGGAAGAGACCCTAGTAAACGTGCCAATAGTAAACGAGTTCCCGGATGTATTTCCGGATGACTTACCTGGAATACTCCCTTCCCGAGCGGTCGACTTCGTCATCGAACTCGAGCCGGGAACTGGGCCTATTTCCAAAGCACCCTATCGCATGGCGCCAGCAGAGTTGAAGGAACTCAAGGCGCAACTGCAAGACTTACTAGATAAAGGATTCATTCGACCTAGCGTGTCCCCCTGGGGTGCGCCAGTGTTATTTGTTAAGAAGAAAGATGGATCGATGCGTCTGTGCATCGATTACAGAGAGCTAAACAAGAGAACCATAAAAAACAAATATCCTCTGCCTAGAATAGAAGACTTGTTTGATCAACTCAGAGAAGCAACAGTATTCTCTAAGATAGATCTTCGGTCCGGTTACCACCAAATTAGGATTAATGAAAAAGACGTATCAAAAACAGCGTTTAGGACAAGGTACGGTCACTACGAGTTTGTGATGATGTCATTTGGCCTCACCAACGCCCCGACTGTATTTATGGAGTTAATGAACCGGGTATTCAAAGAATGCCTAGACATGTTTGTGATTGTGTTCATTGACGACATCCTCATATACTCGAGAACCGACCTAGAGCACGAGGAACACCTCCGAAAAGTCCTAACCACCCTAAGAGAGCACAAGTTGTACGCCAAGTTCTCCAAATGCGAATTTTGGTTACGACAAGTCTCTTTCCTAGACACGTGGTGTCAAAGGACGGAATATCTGTAGATCCCACCAAGGTAGAAGCGATTACAAAGTGGGAATGCCCAACTACGGTAACGGAAGTAAGGAGTTTCCTAGGATTGGCGGGATATTATCGGAGGTTCATACAGGACTTCGCTAAAATATCCTCGCCTTTAACAAAGTTAACAAAAAAAGGGGTGCCATTTAGATGGGATGATGCTTGTGAAGCAAGCTTCCAGAACCTAAAAGAGAGATTGGTAACCGCCCCGGTACTCATAGTACCCGAGAGCTCAGAAGAATATGTGATCTATAGTGATGCCTCCATGAAAGGACTGGGATGTGTGTTAATGCAACACGGCAAGGTTGTCGCATACGCATGTCGTCAACTTAAAGAATATGAAAAGAACTACCCTACCCATGACCTAGAGTTGGCCGCTGTAGTGTTCGCGCTGAAAATCTGGCGACATTACCTGTATGGCGAGAAAACCCAAATTTTTACCGACCACAAAAGTTTGAAATACTTCTTCACCCAGAAAGAGTTAAACATGAGGCAGAGAAGGTGGTTAGAATTGGTGAAGGATTATGACGTAGATATCCAGTACCACCCTGGGAAAGCAAATGTGGTTGCAGATGCCTTGAGTAGGAAGACGGTCCACTCGTCGGCCCTCATTACGAGGGAAGTAAGGGTACAAAGAGAGTTCGAGCGAGCCAACATAGCTGTAGCAACTGAGGGAGTCATAGCACAGCTGGCCCGACTCACGGTACAACCTACGCTTAGGCAGAGAATTATTGCCTCCCGACAAGAGGATCCTAACCTACAGAAAGTCCTAGGACAACTAGACGAAAGTCCAGTAGATGGATTCTCGAAGTCATCAGATGAAGGACTATTGTATCAGGGACGCTTATGTGTTCCGACAATAGAAGATGTAAGGAAGGAAATACTGATGGAAGCTCACAACTCACCATTTGCGATGCATCCAGGAGGTACTAAGATGTACCAAGATTTAAAACAACACTTTTGGTGGAAGAGCATGAAGAGGGATGTGGCCGGGTTTGTGAGTAAGTGCTTAGTTTGTCAACAAGTGAAAGCTCCAAGACAAAAGACGGCGGGGTTGTTGCAGCCCCTAAGCATACCGGAGTGGAAGTTGGAAAACATAGCGATGGACTTCATAGTAGGTTTACCCAAAACGCCCAAGGGCTATACAGTGATCTGGGTAGTTGTCGATAGGTTGACCAAGTCGGCACACTTTCTACCTGGGAAGGTTACATATACAGTTGACAATTGGGCACAACTGTACGTGAAAGAAATAGTAAGACTACATGGAATCCTAGTGTCTATAGTGTCGGATCGGGATCCACGCTTTACGTCAGCATTTTGGCGCGGACTTCAAAAAGCACTGGGTACCCGCCTCGACTTTAGTACCGCCTTTCACCCCCAAACAGATGGACAAACAGAGCGTTTAAACCAAATTCTAGAGGACATGCTACGCGCTTGCGTACTAGATTTTAAGGAAAGTTGGGATTCCAAACTACATCTAATGGAATTCTCGTATAACAACAGTTTCCAAGCAACTATTGGAATGGCACCGTTTGAGGCCCGGTACGGGAAACGGTGTAGGTCCCCACTATGTTGGGACAAGGTAGGAGAGAAAGAATTAGTAGGACCCGAGTTGGTTCGACTCACCAATGAGGCTGTCCAGAAAATTCGAGCGAGGATGCGTACTGCTCAAAGTAGACAGAAAAGTACGCCGATGTAAGGCGTAAAAGCCTGGAGTTTGAGGTGGGGGACCCAGTATTCCTCAAGGTGGCAC